ATGCCGCTCATGTCAGCCCATGAATGTTTTCTCATTTGGAGAGGGACATAAGTAGTGTTGGGTTGCCTTCCTCGCTCCTAGCCCTGCCTCCCTCCCTGCGGTGTGCGCTCACCAAGGTGATATACTTTCATTTCTTGATGAGGCTGCCGGTATTTACTATTGTGATAGCCGACCGTGGTATGGAATGGCGCCATGCGTACTACTAAGGTAAATTTACTAAAAATTTCAGACAAATAAGAGTGTGCGTTACATAAAACGATTTGGAAAAGAATGAAATGTAAGGAACCGCCTCGACTGAGTGCATTGTATATTCTGCACGTATGCTTATTCAGAGTTAAGTATCTGAGTATATAATCCTAGATGACTGAACTTTTTTGTCAAACGATACCACTAAGAACCTTTGAGGTGTTCTACGACTCGGTTCAAAGAGGATTTCTCTCATTATGTAGATAGTGCTGTGAACCGTCACTTTTGTTTGATAAAAATCTAGTTGCATTAATATTTAATGGAGATTATATTAACTAGTTCCATTAGCGTCCACGGCGCATGTGGCGGTACTTTAGAATGCCATGTTTATATAATTGGAAATTTCAGAGACATTCTAAGGGTTGATCCCAGAGCAAAAAAGGCATGAGGCACCAAAACTTTAAGAATCCATTTTAAAAGAAAAAGATAGAAGAGTAATTGTGAAATAAAGAGATAATTTGTTTAATAAGCATGAACGCTTCATGAAGGAAAGTTGTGCGCGGAATGCCAGAACATTTCAAAAAGTAAAGCCCACAAATCTCTATCAGTATAAGATGGTGTTCAAACGCGCACCCTCATCATTAAATCTGAAAAACACATTGTTTATTTAAGATTTCAAAATTTTTTACTTTTTAATTATTCTGGATGTGGCCATAAGTAATATTTTTTATACTTATTCCTTTACCGTATATTACTCTAACAATTAATTCTTTCCTTCAAAAGACTCAAACATAAGCCGCCTGGTAATAAAGCCATCTACTGCACAGGTGCACGTGTGTCTTTATTGATACAAAAGTTAACAGAATTTTGCTTGTGAAAAATCCATCTCCGGGTGGGCCTCCATAAACTTCTTGAGCATATCTTGCTTCTTTTGCTCCTCAGAAGTTGGTTTTCCAAGCGCTTTTTGACGCTGGTCGAACATCATCTTTTCCACCGTTTGTCTCGTTTCGCTATCTAAGTCATCTAGCTTGGAGTTCTCCGGTACAACCTTCTGTAGGTCGATCTCAGGGTCACCAACAAAAACCGTTTTCCACCACTCCATATCATTTTGTTTCTGAAGCGACAGCACAACTACGCATCCATCCTCAATAGTCCACATGGAATCCTCCAGCTTTATGCGCGCGTAGAGATCACCATCGATGAGGGGGTGCTTGCCCTTCATGCCGACCTTCAGATGATCTTGTTTAATCTCAACATCGAGCTGCTTGCCGCGGACATTTTTCGCTGGTAGTGGCACGCGCATCTCGACGTCTTTCAGGGTTTGTGAGAAGGTATAGTGTTCGTATTCAAAACCGTTGCCTGAGGTAGGCGGCAGCCCTTTGGGCTTGTTGCTGTCCTCCTCGTCACCATCGCCGTCCTTCTGATTCTGAGCTTCTTCAAGTTCCTTCTTCTTCTTCTCAAGCTCTGCTTTGCGATGAGCTGCGGCATCGGCAGCCACTTTGGCAGCCGATGCGTTAGCTTCCTCCTCGTCCTCAAGCACCTCAACACGCGAAGACGCCGCGAGTTCCTTCTTCCGTCGAGCTTCCTCCTCCAGTGCCGCACGTTTCTTTTTCTCCTCTGCTTCAGTTAGGTAACGCGACATGAATTTATTCACAGTGGCCCTGGCCATCTCAGGCTGCGTGAAGAAGTCTGTCTTGCGGTTTAGAAAAGAGAAGAAAACGTCCAAGATGCCATCGATGCCGTCCTGTTGCTTAGCAACAGCCATGAGCATCGAGTCAAAACGTTCGTTCTGTGTAGATGCCATAGTTTTTGTATGTCTGAGTTTCGTTATTTTCTATCGAAAAATAGGTAGTTGATTATGTTTATTATAAATCTTTTTTGTTTGTTTAGATAACATCGATGATGAAAAAGAGGGATAAATGCTTTCCAATATACATACAGAGAACACAGATTTATTTCAATACCCCATGGAGTATTTACCGCTTTGTCGCTTCATGTAACTAAATCATCACCATCACACTCTTCCGAAGTCTTTAAATTTCATAAAGTACCTTACATCCCTTTCTGTAGGGGCATACACACACAAAGGGAATAAAAGAACTTTATAAAGGGAAAGAATCTACAAGCGTGTTCGTCACAGACCCTATGAATCCCCTCTCATGGAGGCACGCCCGTTGTTTATCCATGTTGTGCCTACTATAGGTTCGGGCGTACGCTGCACATGAACTGAAGCAGCGCCAACCATTCGAGCGCGACGTGCCGGAGAAAGGGATCCACGGTCTGATGGGGGCAAACTTCAGCCGCGGTTCTTCCCCTATTGGCGGGTTCGTCGCCCGCCACCGCGGCGTCCTGGTGCCGCCTGCGCCGGCCGAAGCGCCGCCAGGCCTTGTAGAGGGCTGGCAAATTGACCTCCACCTCTATTTGGGCCTCAGGCGATTGGCCGACAGGAAAAGGAATCGTAAGGAGTTCGAGCTCCGAGGTGTTGGAGAAGAAATTTGATGGGATATGCGTTACCCGATCCTTAGAAAGATCGACGTAGAAAAAGGGCCCAATTGGAAGGCGGTGACGTATACGAATCCGAGTGGAATTCGGGACGATGGTCGAAAGATCCAACACCGCATCCTGAGCACCCTCCCTATCGCCTTCCGAGGGCGTCACGCACTGGGTGGCAGCATTCGTGGAGGAAGGGATGCGAGTTCGCCACGCTATTTCACGCTCGTTGGCTATGGCTAGACGAAAGTCCCATCCCCATTCCGGGCAGAACACGTCGGTGATGTTAGTGGTGTCTTTGAGCGTGATGGATTGTAGCCGCATAGCTCGAATATGTGAGTTGGCTTTCACTTCAGTGGACAAGGGGATCCCATATTGCAACCGATGCCCATTTATTGTATATATTATCATTGTATACGATTTTGATATAGTGGAAGAGGTCGTAGCCCATTGCCGACCTTGGGAGCCGAACAGACGAAGTCTCTGAAGCCCAGTTTCCATCGGAAGAAGGGACTTTACCACCATTTCAGATTTAAACCGATAGAGATTCAAGTTCTTGGGATGAAGTACAGCGTTGCTTGAAGAAATGACTGGTAACCCATGAAAATTAAGGCGTGGTAAAACGATAATCTGGCCAAGGCGGCTCTCGAGTTCAATTGAGATGCCTGTGGGCCTACATGCATACGCCTCAAGGGCGCATTGAAGGGATCTAGATACTGCAGACGTAATGGGATCTACGTAGGGCGGTAGGGTTGAAATGATCCTACTCAAGAACATCCTGATCTTTTGCTTCTAAACAAAAAAACAATTGTTTCTATTGAGGTGATTGCTTCAGTTACAACCTAAGTTTTTATCTTTCCTAGATAAGTAAATAATAATAAGAATACTGGCTTACACTAACATGAAAGGAAAGTCATTCCCAGCACTGAAAAAGATCAATATTTGTATCTGTTTGCTTTTTGTTATGCTGTGGAACCCCCTTTCTTCAGTTTTTTTCGTGATCCCATCACAAACAACTGCAGCAACCATTTTACAGTGAAGATTTTTAATTGGTTATAATAGGCATTTCACTTCACTTCAGGGGCATTCAAAGTACTTGCCGTCTCTGTCAGGTGGTATTTGTTGTTGTTGTTCTCTTCATAGATCTATGCGAATTATTTTCCATTGTTGTATAGGCAACAGTGAAAATTTAGACGTTTAATGTGGGAATATATAAATATATATATATATATTTATATGAGTACTATCACCCCTTCAGCAGCCAAGGATTCTATTTTCAGTTTATCTTCCAGTTCCTCTACAAGTATTACAATGTTATCTATAAAGCGACTCTATTTATCTTAGCCACAATCACCACTCCTCCTTTTTACATTCAACGGAAGACCATATATCAACCAAAAAACCTATTACAGTGATTAATACAATTGTCAGTGAATCAAAGAACTTTTTCCCCATTATTTTTTCATGAAAGATATGGGGAAAATATGCATACCTTGGAACTCTCCCTTTTCAGTACCACCTTAAGTTTCTTAGTTATATCCCCCCCTCCCTCCTTCTCTTCACCTTCTCCTATAGGTTTGAAATCAAAAAAGAAAGAGGGTGCACTTTAGCTATTTCAGCTACTACTATCGTCAGAATCACTTGAATCGAGTCTCTGACAGAGCGCACTCAAGGTCGGAGGATGGGGATTCGGCGTCACCGCGATCGCGCCGGTGGTCGCGCCCCGCGCGGCGGCGTAGGCAGGTTGGCCTGGCATCACGGGCATCGCCGGGGTAGGGATCGGGATGGCCGTGCCCTCGGTCGTCGGTGTCGTGGGGAGCGGCACCCTCACGGGCGTCGGCTTGACGCCGGTGGCGCTGCTCAGAAAGGAGTAGCTCGTCGAGGTCGCGGGGTCCAACACCGGCGCCATGTCAACCCCAGCGCTCTTACGAGGGGGGTCATTCGGCCGCGCCGTCAGGGAAGTGCTTGTGGAGCTGCTGAGACTGATGGAGTACTCCTTCTGGCGCCACGGGGCCTGAGAATCGGCCGCCGCCGCAGGGGTTTGCGGTTGGGCATCCGGCATCCATTTCAGGATAGGGGTGTGGTCCTGCTTCGGGGTTGGGATGGGGATGTTGGGTTGGGTGGGGGTTGTCGACACCGCCGATGGTGGCTTCGGAATGGTAGTATACGGTGCCTGGACCACGGTCGTTGTGTGTGGCGGTGGTACGATGGGTAGCGAAGTTGGAAGCTTCTTGTGAATCTCGGCAGGAGGCATGATTGGGATGGTGTTAACGATGTCTGGCTTAACAATTGGTGGCTTCAAAGGAGAAGTGCTGACGGGCGGTTCTTGACTGCCCAGAGAAGTCTTTACCGGGGTTAATTTGTGCCCTTCCGAGGGAGGTGACGATGTCGTGAGAATAGGGATAGGCTTTGGTTCCACTTCCACTTTTTCATGCGCTACTTGCTTCAGATCTCTAAGTTCTTTTTCTAGATCGTGTATTTGACGTACCAAGGTGGCATGTTCGGTCTGCCGCTGCCGGGAGAGATTGTATTCCGTCATGGCCGCAAGGTCTGGCACAACTGGGATGGTAGACAGGGACTCTCCTGTTCTCGACAACACATTACCATGTGTTGTAGGAGGGGTTCGCGGGGTGTTTGGTTCTGGCCGCACCATCACCGAAGTTGTGGGTGATGCCACGCCCGGCATGGTTGCAAGGGGTGGTGATAGTGCTGATGGCTGCTGAGAGTTCGCCGCATTTTCTCTAGATGAACTTTTGAGGTTGCTGATCTGTTGAATAAGGAGTTGCATCATCTTGTCGTGCTGCTGGCCCGAGGCGGCGTCGCGCTCCTTCTCAAGCTGCCGCTCAAGATTCTCGATGCGATCCTGCATTCGTTTAAGTTCCGCCTCATGGCGAAGGGCATCCGCCGTAGAGGTTTCCCCCCCCGTGGTCGCATTGGCGACCCCAGCCTTTGGCAATGCCGTGCCATGACGCTTCCGCACGTGCGATTGGAGCGACTCCACCTTGTGGTACGCCTCGCCGCAGGTTGAGCAAACGAAGGTCGCTTGAGGGGGGCTGCTGTGCAAGGTCCCCGACGTCCTGCGCGTGTCGGGGTGGTTTTTTCCCTTTGAAGTGCCCGCGGCGGTGTACTCATAGGCAAGCAACGTCCGCCGCTGCGCCTTTACTTCCTTTTTGAGCACCTCCTGGTCATCGAGAAGCTTTGTATTCGTCTTTTCCAAAGCATCCACGGCGCCACGGAGCTCCCCTACATGATTATTTAGTCGCGCATTCAACTTGCCTAAGCACTCCTGCGAGAAGACTAAGTACTGTATAACGATTTGTGTGAGCTTAAAGAGGTGTTGAATGTGCTCTGGTGAAAACATTGCGGCTTCATCTCGGGTGATGTGAGAGAATGCCAAATTTTCCACTACGCGCTGAAGCGTGTCAACGTTGGTGTCCTTTGTGAGGCGCTGCAAGTCAATAGCCACAAGTACACCCCAGTCTAAGCGTTCATTACCCTGCACATACGCAAAGGAAGAGGAAGTCATGTGTGTCAAAATATTCAATAATGTGATCTTCCTTTTGGATGTAAATAGCAATCTAATTTACTTTTGTGAGGATAGTATTACGGTTAATTGACTTATCAATAGAAGAATACACTGGTACTTTAAGTAAGATATATTGGTAAAATACCATGTTAGATTTAGGTAAAGGTTGATAAAATTGAATGTGATTCTGACAAGCAACAAAATAAGCCCTAATATAATGAAATGTTAAAAAAGAAGAAAACACATTTCCATCCGCATTAGGTTAGACATTATATTACTATTAGCAATGTGTGCGCGCACGATAGGTTGTTCTTTATACTTTATCCTATTAAGATTTTTTTAATTTTCACCAGGTCCTCCGCTTAGGTTAGCATAGAAATGTATTAATAAAAGCATTCAGGGAGAAAGGAAGAGTCTATACACGCTAAACTGGTAGAGGTAATAATAACTTAATACATCTTTTTGTGTTTGCGTGCCTCGTCCATCCTATCGTCAGTATCTTTTATTTTCTCAAACGCAAAATATAATAGATACCACTATATTGGACTCTTCTGATCAGTACATTGATAATATGCAAAGTTACTCGATTAAACAAATCAAAATATATCGATTTTACTGTTTTATACACGAATTATTTTTAAATATCTATGAGGCCATGTATAGATATTTCGACGCCTTTTTTTATTTACCCTCTTTCTCCTCTCAAATTACTCTGTTGATTACTCAACGTTATTATTGCGCACCAGCTAACCCTATTGCATTATCCAATCAATTTATTGATGTTATCATGGATGGGACAAGAATACTGTGTCAGTGATGCCAAAACCGCTAAGTCTCTTTTTTCCCCTGAAGGAGTTCACCTCAACTGAGGTAGTAAGCGTTTTCCAATGCAAATACCATGTGCATTTATTTTTTTCGTTTTAAACCTTCCCACTGCAGTTCCTGATCAGTATTATGAGGTGATAAAAGAGAATATCCCAGACTCTCTTTCAAGTAGTGTTGCCGCTCGCTTGGTACCTACAATGCGACTCAACTCATGGGTGTCATATCGACAGTACAGCGTCATCGCAAATGCGTTCGGGGACGTTGCCACGATTCGGTTCACAAGCGAAGTATAAAAATCAGGGAACAGTGTTGGACTGTAGAAGATCACTACCTCTGCAAACTTGACAAAGTACCGCCGGAAGAAGTAAAAGCGCTCTGTCAAAAGCAGTAAAGGCCGCTCAAGGTCGGTGAACTGTCCCAGCGCCTGCCGCTGCTTTTTTACAGATGTATACTCCGATATCGCGGCGAAACTCTCGCGGTACTCGCGGTGCATGTAGTTCCGCAATCTCACAAACTGGAAGTACGAGGGCACAAAAATGATGGTCCGGACGTTGCGCTCGACGAGTGGATGGATCTTAGCCTGGTACATTTTGTTGGTAAACACGTCAAAGCGCTCATCATCCACAGACTCGATAGTGGGGACGTCAAAACGTATAAAGTTCTGCCGCACTGGCGCCAGGACGTGCGAGAGGACACCTTCCTCCGTGCGATGCTGAAGAAGAACCTTGCCCGAGTTGTTCAGCGACGCACGGAAGGCGCTGGAGATCGTCGCGTGGCTGATATTCAACGAGAAGATGGTCTGCCGATGTCGGCCGCTTTTCCCCTCGAGAGCCCACGCGTACACGCGGCGGAGGTCGGAGAGGCCATGCGTGGTATCCGTCGGGCGTTTGTTGAGCATCCCCAGCACCGCCGAGGCGTGGTCCCAATTCTGCTCAAGAAGGACGTGGGCCTCGTCGACCAGGCAAATTTCAATCGAGGAGAGGGAGACCATGACGTCGCCGCTCTTTTCAAGCCGTCGGCGCAGGCCGAGTGGAGAGCAGATGATGATATCGCTGTTAAGGGGGTGCGCGTAAACCTGCACCCGGTCCGTCTCCATCCGCAGGCCTACGCAGAAGGAATCGTCGACGTTGCCCTCAAACTGACGCTGATAATCCTTCGGGCGGCGTTTAAACGTGGGGTCCACCGCCTCTTCGATTTCGCTAAAGTCGCTGGTGAAGTTATCCAACTTCGGACAGCACGCTGGATCGGCTCCAAGGATTCGAACGATTGTGTGGACGTAGCGATAGGCTTGGTTGCGCATGGGTAGCATAATCAATATACGCGTTTTGCCAAACCCACGGTCCCGCAGCTCCAACTCATCGTTGTCGTCAACCTCCTCGAGGGCACCTTTGGCAGCAGCGGGGGGCTCGCTTTCGCCATTTGAGTTCTCCTCTTTTCGTCGTCGTTTCCGTCCCTGAGTGTTCACAGACGCCTCCGGGGTTGTGGAAACGGTTTTCTTTTTTGCTGCATGGACGTTTACGGCGGCCTGTCGTCGGTGATGACGATCACGTAGAATTGCATCATGCGCAAGAACCACTGCTCGCATTTTAAACCAGTGATTGAGAATATGCAATAGGAAGATCTCCCGCCGCGACGCCGCGTTCTGCCAGCATCGCAGGCAGTCGAGGATATCGGGGTAGCCCTGCAGAAGGTCCAAAAGGCCGCGCTCCTCGAAGGTAAGGGCAGGCAGGTTGTTCGTCTCACATGGAGAGGAAGGGAAATGGTGCGTTCGAGGGTAGGTGCGGCGATAGGCCACCCACTTTGTCCATAATGTCTCGTGGAGGTACGGCGGGCGAGGCTCCACAGAGTCGCTCCCCATATCCGCTACTTTTTTCGTCTTCCCTTGCCCCACCGGAGCGGTTGCGAAGGGATCGGCGCGTAAGCCTCCCGATCCGCTTTCACCCTCCACCTCCACTTCAAAGGGCTCGTGAAGCCAAAACTTCTGAGCCTGGGCACTGGCCGCGACGGTGAGATTCGAAGGGTCGAGTAGGCGGTACTCGGCCGAACTAATCGCCAGAAGATCGGGCGTGATTGGCTTCGCCCCAGCCTGGTTGAGTGATTCGTTTATCGCGGTATCCTTCTCAGCAGCATCGGCCGCGGCGATGAGGGGGTCATTGCTACGTACAAGCGCCTCCAATACCTCCGGCCGCACCAATACCGTCCGTAGTGGGGTCTGATCCACATCCCCGTGTTGATCCAGATGGTATTTCGCGTAGCACCGGTCCTGCTGGTTCGCGCGAAGAATCGCGTTCCGGTTCGTCGTCCCGAGTTTGAACGTCGGAAGCAGGGCACGCCGTTCGCGTTGTTTTTCGACACTCTCCACCGGCAGAGCCCCGGAGGTCGAAGATGCGTTGCTGCCGTCGTCGCTATCGTCGTCCACGTACGCCTCTTCCTCGTTCGTTTCCGTCGTATCGTGAGGTTCAAATACCATTTCCCCCGTTGAGTCGTCCATCTCACCATCACCATCCTTCTGATCATTTAGCATCTCGAATAGTGGGTTTGCCTCAGCTCCTTCCTCTTCCTCGAGATCCGAATTCTCACTGCTCGTGGTGTTGTCTTCATCATTGTCATCGTAGTCCATCAGCAACTCCTCATCGTCTTGTATATCACCAGACGTACTTTCATCCCCGTCCGAATCGCTGTTCGAAGATTGACTAGTAGGGGCTGCTGCCTCCCCGAGATATGTTTCCCAGTTTTCATCGCTCGCCATACTGCTTCTTTGCGAGTCGTGGCTACTGCAGCGATCTGGTCCCTGTGCATGTACAATGCTGCTATGTGAGGACGATGACCGAGTTGATTGAGAGAGGCTTCTCTTTGAATTTAAATTATCATCTTTGTTTTCTTGCGCGCTATACCTGCGATGCTTCTGCACATTTGCTGAGCTTTCTACACCTGCATCACGCATGGACTTGTTAGCATCCTTGTCGGTTTTACTGCGACCTTGTTGAGGGTGGTTGACAACACCGAGCAAGTTGCGCAGCTTGCGTAGCTTTTTCTCTGCAACCCACTGCTCTCTTTCCGAGTCGGTAGATGCTTTTTCCTCACTAGAGTCACTCAAGGCATCAAGGTCCTTGGCCTCCCGTTTGGCAACATAATACTCTACGCGTTCGTTGAACTTCTGTCGTCTTACCTCCTTCGAGGCACCCTTGGTGCCGCGCCTTTTCTGGGAAGCAGCTCGCTTTTGCTTTGCTTTGAGTTTAATGAAAAAGCCCGCTGGCTTGCCCATTGTGCTACGTCAGATCGCTTCCCTTCAAAAGGAACCCAATAAGGAAACACTCTATGTTTTATTATTTTGTATCTGCAGGTGTAAGCGTAATCTCTATAAGATTCGCCTTTGACGATTGCGTAATAGGGTATGAGAAAAATAGGATAAAAGGTAAGAAAAAAAAAGGATCCCAAGGGCATCTAAAATAAAAAGCTGTAACAAACAGGGGGTGAATATGTGGTGAACATATTTATCAGAAGTCACCTTTTTTTGTGTTGTCAACAACAATATTAATAATCCTTTTGAGAGAACTGCGTTAATTGAAAAACACTCGGGATTGCTGTGTTTTTCTTTAAGTATTGGAACCTCCTTTTTCTCAGCATTCTTTAGCCTTTAAGATGCTACACCTCGAGATTCGAAGCGACCCGCAACGCCGCATTTTGAGCGCGATCTACATTCACAACATGTTCCAACACCCGTTGAAAGAGCTGCTGGCAGTGTCGCAACTCCTCAGAAGGTGCTGCGCTGAAGAGGAAAATCGAATCCCTGAATGGTTCGCTCCGCTGCTCATCATTCTTGGAGTCCTCTGCGTGTGTATGGTTAGCATCCACCGAGTTGCTGGCCCCATAGAGTTGCTCGATCTCCCAGCTGACCTCTGCCTCCTCCTCCTTTTTCTCTGTATTCGTCTCTTCCGCATTCTTCGGAATGGTAGACCGCACTAGGCCCACCGTAGGCCGCACGGCGCCCTCCGCGAGGGGGACAGCCTCGTAGGCGATCAAACGACCCCGACACTCCTCCACCCACTGTGCGGAGCTCAGGGCAAAATAGGACTCACGCAGTGCGGCATGGAGACCCTCACGCGCGTCCTCGAGGACGCCCAGTCCATCCCACAACGCCTCGTAGGACAGGTGATCCGCGAGGGAGGACATCCCTTCTATCCCTTTCCTTACAGAGGGGTTGTGTTTTTTAGGTCGGAGTTCTAACAATTACAAAGGGTTCTTTTTTTCCTTATTGGAGGGGGGGTCCCCGAGAGGTTGTTAAGGATATTATGGGGAAGAAAGGAGACGGGGTGAGCAGAAAAAAGAGAAGTGCACCAGTCCGTACTGTGTCAGAAGAAGCATTGGCAGATTCCTTGCAACGGTTAGAGGAAATTATAGCAGATAATGCTAGTAATTTTTTGGTAAATTTTTTTGTGCAAAAATAAAGAAAATAGATATAGAAATCATGAAAATAAAGGAATACATAGAGTATATGAAGAAGAGATATATATAACTTTTACCATATTTCCCTCTTTTCACGTATTTAGTATATATCTATATGTATATATATTTCTCATTCTCTATAGAGATATACATATTGCGTTGCATTAAAATCTCAAAATAGTGTAAAAATGATATTGATCAGTCATAGAGGAAAAAAGTAAAGTAAAATTTGTCTTTCTTCTCTCTAGGAAATATCAAACGAAACAGTCAAATATAGCATAAAAGCAAAGTAAGCATATGGAAAAATGTAATGAAAGCCATATACTAATAAATATATTTATTCAATACGATGATTGTCTACTTGTAGTTATTTAAATAGACTTCACTATATTTTTCATCCGACTACGAAGGGTCAGTTTTATTTTCTGAAAATTAACAATATACTATATATTCTAATTATGGCCCAAAATAGGTAATGAGCGTAGGGATAGACAAGTTTTTACCCAAGCCACCATTGCAAACGAGAACCTACGTATTTTATCCGTTAGGTTTGCTGCTATCGTACACCTCTAAACCTTTTCACGCTTCTATACTTGCCCCATAAATCATTGATATCTCCTATCACATCCACTGCTATATGAGGTTATTCACCTTTTCAGCAATCCAAAAAGCGCTTCCCAAGTTGGCCCGCCCAACCACCAAATGGGTTTGTTAGGGCAAGGTGTAGAAGAGTCATTTACCCATCGTCCAACCTTATATAGGATCCTTTTGTAGAGAACATCCCTGTCTTGGATGCACCGTCGTGTTTGAAGGTGGGGCTCACCTCCGGGATGCATTCTAAGGAGTGGAAGTTTAGCACCTCTAACGGGTTAAGCAGGAAGAAAGTGAATTTTGCCTGGAGCGTCCCATCATCCCTGAGGTTCGCGTCCACGACGCTTTTTTCTAAAGTAATCGTCTGTGGGGCGCCGTTCTGCTTTACTTTTTCTTGCGCGTAGACCTTTCCGGCGAAATCGAGCATTTCAATACTGTGCAGTGGGATGGAGTCCCCTTGGCTGAAAAGAAAGATCACAAAGCTCTGAATATTATCAGGGGTGATGTTCGCAATGAGGTCGGTGGACTTCCGCTTAACATCAAGGCGGGCAATGAGGACCGTATTACCGACAATAAAACTTGTCGACAAAAATGGGTTTAGGTTTTGATTGTACAAGGTTAGGACGGTCCAGATCACAGATACCGTTTTTTGTTGTGGGATTTCTCTTATCATAATGGTATCGTCGTCAATAATAAAGTGAATCTTTAATTCGTCATCCTCGCCGATAAAATCCATCACGTCGATTTTATTGCAGACGCACCAATGTCCGCAGCGTTTGACGTCGGGGGGGATTGTGTGCGCCGTGTGTTGCCGCATCGATTCGTTTTTGGAGTTCTCGAAGTAGTAGGAATACTTTGGAATCGGGCGCTTCTTAAACCGAACGTAGATTCCAACATTACCTTGCGCTTCTATCTTGATGTGGAGGTGAAACTTCACTCGTTGAAATGAAGTGGCATACTTGCTGTCGCATTTATTACCGTTTTTTAGAGCGCTAAACTTTGGAATAACCCATACAAAATGGCGATCGGCGGCATTTACGGCGCTGAAACTTCCGATAGTCATCACAACAATTTTTAGGGAAAAAGTTCTAATATTACTATACAAAAATCGACTAGATTTTTCTTTCACTACTACTACAGTGTCCAGATATTTTTATGGTGTGCTTTCCTTTATATTTACTTTTACACGTCTGAAGACTTCGTCAGTTTTTGGTGCTCCCAGCGAGGGAAGGATAATCCAGACAGGAAAATTTGGGGAAATGTAAATATACAAAGCCAACACAGTCCCAATAAATCTGAAATCTAGAGTCTTTAATTTTCAATGTCATCTATTGCAGAACGAATCTGTTAGGTTTTTGATTTGAAAAACCATTTCGAATTTTGTATTCAACAGAGGAGGGTATGCTGTGGAAAAAAATAGGCCAAGTAATAATAATAATTACAAAGAGTAATGACGAAGTGAAAAATCGTCAACATGCCACAAAAAGTGACATCACATTGATCTATGTTTTCGTTTGCGTAGAAGCTGAAATCAAGAATCGAATCAATGTCCATAGAGCCCCCCAGCACCATACAGTCTTCACCGTCACCAAACTTTTCAGAAGCCCTTCCGATATATTGAATTTTTTTTCCCTCACAAATCCCCTATTTTGACAATGGAGACATTTTGTTTAGTAATTAAACAAGGATCCACAGGTATTGTTTGGCAGCTCTCTCGTAAAAGAAGGCATTCCAAAGCGGATTGTAAAATATTTCCATCAAGTGATAAATTCTATTTGTAGTGAAGGTTAGATAAAGGATAAAAATGATATTGGATTATTGTCTTGAAATTCCAAGTTATTTATTCAGTTACATGTCATTTCCTTCTATAGCTATAAGGAAGAGATGAAAAATGCATCATTCATTATCATTGCTGAAGCTGCAGCATTGTTGAACGTTCCACAATTTTTAAATAAAAAAAATAACGTTTACCTTGCGCCATTTCCTCTACAAGAAGGTTTGTGATATACTGAACATAGTGAAGGAATAAACAAATAAAATATGAAAAGGATAATAATATAACACCATTGAATTTCATAACTGTACCTAAAAGGACTATGTATCTGCCTTTTCAGCAAATACCGTGACTCATCTTTTTTAGTTATACTTTTTCTACTTATACTAAAATATGTTTCAAATATATCATTTCAGAATCTAATACATGATTTTTAAAATATTTTATAGTTGATCAAGCTATGTAACTATATAAGCAGATGGGGAAAAATTAAAAGAGACCATTATGCTTGCTCAAATAAGTCCGCCCACTTCGCACCTTCGATAAATACCTAAATTCCGATTTTATTCCTGTTTGTTTGGTTTTCTAGTACTATTTTATTAACGTTTATGTTTGTCAATCCCTCATTTTCACTTGGGAGTGTTTCCACACACTAAAGTGTCCCATACTTTGGCTGGTTGGCATATGGGTAGAGGTTTTGAATCATTCCAGCATCGTACTTCATCAGCGATTGGTATAGCTCCGGAAAGGATACTTCTAGGCCTTCCGGAAGCTCTGCGAAGCACACAAAAATGGTAATTACCGTACTCCTGAAGATCTGGAAAACGCTATTGTTGATTAAATCCGAGATGATGAATACGACCGTGCTGAACGCTAAATCTCTTGTCAGCGCGTAGGCGATGGCAGACATCACGAGGTCGGAAAGCAGTGTTGTCATCCAGACCGCCTGGCTAACCAAACAATCATTAAAAAAAGCTACGAAAAGGCACCGCTGGGTTAGTTGCCAGGTGACCTTTGCCGCCTCGAGATAATTACAGCCGTAAATACCCACATGCACAAACGCATATTCATTGAAATAACTCAAAAGAAAATCGGTAAAATCCAAAATACACAGAAGAATGCAGTTCATGAAGCTGTAGTCATCCAACTCACTCGATGTTACGGTGGCGATGAAGTAAATAAAGTCCATGAGGGCTGTAAATAAGGAACCGAAACAGATTGAACCGAAATTATCAAAAAATGCCCGGCGAAGCATTTTAGGAATTGGTGAGGAAACTACTTTGGAGGACCCTGAAAAGTACCACGTAGCGATAACGCCGGAACAGATGACATGGATCGCATACAAAAGGACCTGGGTCGTCCAAAAAAGACTGGTAATCACGAGCAAAAAGTACCAAATATCATGCGGGTTGTATATCCCAGCCAATAGGCGAAGCGACGGGGGAACCATTAAGCAAAGCATAAACAGAGTGAACGCAATTGATAGAAGAGCTATGCCCAGTGAGATGATTATCAAGCTGTAGTATCTCTGAATGACGCGAGAGGCGATGGCAATTAGACATACCGAAAAATCAATGCGACTTTTAATAAGATACAACCACAGCAATGGTAATACGGTCATAAAACCAAACAACAAGCTCATCATAACGTAATTGTTCATATAGAAAATGAACGCCACAGCAGCAAAAAGGAAGGTATATACCCAACTGGATATCAAAATAAGTGCACGAGGCATATAGCATAGTAGTTTAAGGTCTAGCATTGCAATCGCTAAGGAGAGACCAAAAAAAAGCATAGTCATCAATACCCACCTCGAGGTCACCGACTCGCGCCAGATATCCTGAACTACGGTGCGAGTATTCCGATTCCCCCTTGTGGGATTCATTAGACCGACGTTCGGTTCTACAGAACCTACCGTGTTTGGTTTCGGTTGGCCATAGTTAAAGAACCCCCCCATCGATGTCCCATCCACACCTGTGGGATCACCCCAACCCCAGGAAAGGGGTAAAACCCCAAAAAGGCTTTGGTGGTTGTTCGTGTTATTAAAGATTAGTCCAAGCTCGCGTATTCGCTGTGAAATAAGCATTGCCATCGTTTCGTCCATCGCGAAGTCCGGCAGCTCCGAGGCCCCCTGGACCAACACCACAGCCATCAACATCAGAAAGAGGAAAGCCATCCAACCATCCTGACAGCCGCGGCGGCGAAAGCGCCAGAGCTCGTTATTGGAGCGATAGCCCTCCACGGAGCGAAAAGGACTTTCCTTGTCCATCTCCTTGCACAAAAAATGTGGAATGGTTTCCTGGTTTTCATCTCTTTCGCCTTGATTTACTGAATTTGTGAAGACGACAACCCCAGCCGCGGTGCCTCTGTCGGGGAGTTGCCTCAGGGGAGAGGTAGATTCGGCATCGTTTTCAATACTGACGTATAAGGGAAGGCCGCTGCCCAGCCTCGCCTCGTAGGGGTCAAAGTGCCGCTCGGAGACTAAAATAGGAGGATGGCCAGGGTAAGGACCTCTGAAAGCAGTAGAGTCTTCCGCGCCAGACATTTATGGAGGACGTATAGTTTATTATTATTAATTTTCAGTCTATTACAATATATTGAGTAGAGTTTGATCCGTTTGTGAGTTCTTTTACAGTGGTTAAACATCCCAAGACAAATAAAATGGTTAAAAGGATATCAAGTGGGAAAATGAGTTCGGAGTAAGGTGAAAGCCGTAGGAACTTCAATGGCAATTTACAGACTACCAAAGGGATAAAAGAATAAGCATAAGGAAATATACGCAACAGAATTTATCATCATTATCCATAAATGAGCACGGGACAATTGTATCTATATAAAGAACGCCGTTTGCTGTATAATTTATTTTTTTTTAACTCGATAAAATACACCAAAACTGAAAAATGGGTATGAAAATAAGTTTATTACTCCTTACCTGACATTTCTACAACTAACTTTAACTGTGTTCGAAAAATACGCAACCAAAGCAAATCGCTAGTGATTATTAGAACACAAAAAATGTTATATGCACAGATCAGCGCGATCTATAAGGCCTTTCGTTCTTTGAAGGGCAAAATCTATTTTTAAATATGTAAAAAAAATATTAATATAAAGTGATCTAACGAATATACATTGAAATAATAGGGATGATCACAATAGACTAGAAAACCAACGCCACAGAAGACAGTGATCATTCCACAACTTTCCTTTTAGCTTTTTCTAATCATCTTTTTTTTCGTGATTCCAGTGTATATGGTCTGTTGAGTAAGATACTCGGGAAACGATGCCTTTTGGGGGCCGATGGTGTGCCTAATATACGCCGTTTTACCTTACATCATAGACAATTATTTGCATTTTCCGGACCTCCATAATAAGTCTAACTACGATTCGTTGTGCGGGGAATCTTTGAGCGGGAACAGGTAGCGATCCACATAAATCCGTTGATACTTCCAGTCGGCCGATATCAGGGACGATACTGTTTCGTGTCGGTAGTGTGGGAGTGCGCCGGGACGGCGATGGCGCAATCGCGCAGACCTGTAAGATACTTCTACCGGAGATGCGGTGTGGGATGCGTTGACAGGATCCTTATTTTCGTCTATTTGACGTCCTCCCGGCCTTCGATATCCCTGAGGTCTCACTTTTGAGATGGCTGGTTTAGGTTGTTCATCTCCTTTGCGGTATTTCACTTCCCCCACAGCCTTTGAGCTGTTGCTCTGGCTTTCAATAGTATCCAAAGGTCCCACTGCCGTGGCTATAGGCATGGGGGCCTTCGCCAGGGTTGTGGGTGAGCCTTTCCTATCATCTGCACGCAGTGAAGAACGAGCCCCCTTGGGGATCTTGGGCATGGAGCCCACAGAACTCACCTCCGACGTCGCGGGCACTCCCTTTTCATCCTGCACAGGTGGAAAGATTTCATTGCCGTGGCTCACCCTGTCGTGCGAGATGTCCCCGCAATCACGGCAACTCGAGCCCTTCCCCACCTCTATCCCACGCTTGGCGTTGGTTTTGAAGGGCACAGACCTGAAGTGGGGCTTCATTGGGGAGTTAGTTAATGACGGTGGGATTTCAGAAATACCCTGCAATTGTTCTTCATCCGCAATAGTCGTTCCAGGGCTATCGATGTGAGGAACCCCGTCTGGGCTGCCAGGTAAAGCCGCTCGCGTTATCGATGCGGATTCCAATAAAACTTCATCTCTCTTGTCCACATCCTCACGATCCATCCCAGTCCCCAGAGGTCTATCCGCGGGCCTTTGGGTGAAGGCAGTCACCAAATCAATCAGCCGGAGGCTACCAATCGCGTCCGGAAGGTCCACTGATGGGGTTCCCAGGTCCCTAGTTTTGATTTCTTTCCCAGAGACCTTTTTGTTTCCTTTCTTTGTTCGCGGCAACCGGTCTTCGTAGTATTGCGCACTGGACCCAAGAACTGTGGTCTTTTGTACGAAATTCGGAGAGGCGACGGTAGATGGTGTTGGCGGCTGTGTTGATTTGAGAGATTCCGATACATGCAGTTCGACCGATGATAAAGCGGCCGCAGCGCATATTTTGCTCTTTCGCCTCAGATTCTTCAGGCGAAGTTGTTGAAGCTGTTCGGTGAATGCAGTAGAAGCCCCGTGTTGTGGTTCATGCATCGTTTCAACGCGTTCTTTACGGAAAGGAATCATCGTACCTCCTTCTCGAGGACGTGATAATGATCTAGACTGTGGTGGGATGGCGATTTTAGCATATGCCCCCCCAACCTCGGTGGAAGGATGAAATAACGCGGCTTTGGAGGCTTCGTGTTCGCATTTTTTCCGGAACAAATCCACATAACTTCCCACGGATGACGGGTCAACTGTGAGTTTCGAACGAGATTCAGGTTTGGCATCCTGTGGAGATGGAAGACGGCAGATATGCATCTTCATTTTATCGGTAAGCCTGTCCAATGACTTTGGTACTTTCAGAGGTATATGTTGACGCGTTTTCAACGGCGACACCACAGCCCCTTCATACTCTTTTGGCATTGGTTTAACTTGTGTTTTCTTTAACGTCTTAGTGTATGGTGCAGGGCCAGTAGACATTGTCTTATGAGCTTTAAACCTTTTTTGAAGTTCTTTATAATAAGCATGGCCCTTCTTGAAGGCATTTTGAGCATTCCTTACCGTTCTGTTCTGGTATTGTGTAGCATCAAGAGTTTCTGTTTGTAATGGTACCGAAGATGAAGGTAGATTGCTTGATATATGTGTTTTATTAGCGCCTTTGAAGTGATTTATCCGTGTTTCACGCGTTAAGAGCCTCTCTCGGAGCCTGTCGGAGCGTTCATGTGGTGGTAATGACGTACGCTCCGTAAAGCAAATGTTCCATGCTAGTGGAGGCGGTGGCATCCGCAGCTGCTCCCGAGTAGTCCCAAAAGTATTACCGCCACCATCGTCGTCCATTTCGCCAGTCTTGGTGACAGCTGTTCTGAATGCACATCTAGCAGAAGATTTGCTGGGGGATGACCGTGGAGGGGGGTGAACTGCTGTATTTTGAAAATTTGAATTTTTGAACTGCACAGTCTTCGTAAGGGACATTTCGCTGTGATTTGTAACGCCAGAAAAAATCCTATTCCGTGACTTATTTGAGTCTGATGGGTGTGGGCCATGGATCTCCTTTGTCCAAGAATGATCAACGTAATTTTTGTGCAATATGTCGGTGGAAAGTTTGATCTCGTCTGCACTACTCTCAAACGAAAGATTTTCACTAGACTGTCTCACCTCTGTTATCGAAGTTGTGGCAGTATCACTGCTGATGTCATCTACGGGGGTGTGATGTAAAGGAATTCTCCCCTCTTCGATAGGTCCCGCATTATGCATCGAACGCGATACCAAGCCAACTGTTTCGGGATCTTCGGAATCAAACGCCTCGGGCTCCTTACACAGAGGTAGAAGGTTCTTGGCTACCTGAAGGAGAGGCCCTACTGAGCTAATTCGACGGTGCACCTTGCCTATTGGTGTAGGCATCGGTACAATATGTATCGGGTTCAAAAACTCATCATCGTGCGCTTCGTGAGATCCTCCTGTGAGAGGTAGTTCAACACATAGCGGTGTCTCCTTGCGGGGGCTGATACAAGGATCAGTCGCGCGGAAAGACGCTCCATCTATGATGCCCGTGCGTTCGTGAATCTTAGTTAACGACTTTGTCGCGATGATGGAATGCTGCCAATTATCGTTTATTACGATATTGCCGAAGCTATCCTCCAGGGACTCGGTAGAATCTTCATCATTAACGGTAAAACGGCACGACTCAGAAACTTTTGAAACAGGGCATTGAATCTTGGATTCCTGTAGTCCACTCTTGGAAGCGAAATGTGTTAATGCAAAAGAGCGACGGATACTTCGCATTTGGGAACTTAGCAAAGCAAGACGAACCTCATACCGCCATTCCAAGACTCTCTGTTTAATTCTACGGCGGTCTTTCCGCTCAAGCTGTAGAAGGAATCTCACAGCATTATTCCACTCTTCAAAAGAAAAAATCGTCCCTGTCCGTTCAATGTTTTCGTTTACATATATTGCATCAGAATCTGTTGTTGAGTATTTTTTTGACAAAACATGGACTGGAAGAGCAGGCACTTGACTAGAAATAATAGGTCTAGCAAACTCATCGTTCAAATTAGAAAGTGGAATATCACCTACAAAGACAGTTCTGGACGTCATCCCCGAAGAATTAGCAGAGTTAGAGTAAAAAAAAGACGAATCGTATTGCTGTGTTGCAGTAAAGAAAGGTTGAGACACAGATAAATTATGATCAGATAATAATGCCGTAGACTGAATGGGAAAAGCAGACTTACGAATAGCCACAGTCCACCGAGAATCTG